TGGGCTCAGTGGTACAGTGCCAGGAAAGAAACTTGGGAGTTAGGTACAATTAAAGAGAAGGTCGGTAGTAAAATGTACAAAATATTTATTATAAAATATGAAGCAACATGCGTTAGACATATAGAAGGATATTCATTAAAAATTAATAACACTGATAATGTTGAGAGTCGCAATTTTCAGTCGTTACCCTTGTCACCGTCTATACTCGTTAATGCTCCTTTATCCGAACCTTCTGTAGGCAATCCTCGGTCATCGACCATAGTAGAGCAACCCGTTAATACTGACGCAATAGACCATGATAATGGGGAAGAATGGGGCGATTATTCGGCACAGGACAGCGTGGGAGACTCAACAGAGATTCCGGAAGCGTCAGATTCGCCTGAAGCTTCCGAAAACGGAGTCGAACAGCCTCAGAGCGATTCTGTCCGCTCCAATGACGTACCACCAGCGCAGGCACCGACAACCGCTCGTCAACTGCGCCCCCGGAAGAGGATAGATTATAAGAAATATTTTTAAATGATTCATTGTGTTATTAAATTTAGTTGTGTTATTAAATTTAGTTGTAAATTTAGATGTGTGTTGTGGTGTGGTGCGGTATTATTTAATTTATTAAATGTTGTACATCTATTAAGTCATAAGTATCTCAAATATTGTTTTATTTAAAACTTTATGTATTATATATTTAATAGAAATTTGAAGTATTAACTGATCACTGTAAATCTACTTTGTTAACAGGTATCAAAAATTAAGTGCAGAGGAATGATATTTATTGCGGGTGCGCAGCACAACCAGTAATAAACTAGCCTCGCTACTAAACAGTTGTTTCCTTTGTTCAATACATCTCAGTCCAGCATTCAGACGTATACAGGCTGTGATTTTCTCTTCTTCTATACATAATAGAGCCACGTTGCAGCTATATTCTGCTTGCTGCACGAATCGGTTGACTTGATCAGGTTAGGACCACGTTTTCGCAGAATATCAGTGCAAAATATCAGATTAATGCTTCTGTGTTTCGTATGATGACTAGAGATCCGGCGACTTTACTGGATGCAATGCACCTTAGTAGTCAGAATTGATAACGCATTTGCATTTTGATTCTCATTTGAGGATAAATTTAGATCCTCGAACGAGAAGCAGCTATAGCATCCATTACCATCAGGTGGACTATGTGCTCGCTTATCACCCTTCTTCTTAAAAAAAAGCTTTAACATATTTGGTGGTGTACTTCGGGCTGAAGAAGATGATGATGTTGATTATGTATAGTCCTTACGTTAAATATCTTTATGAAAAACTGACTAATGAAGCAGAAATAACTTAAGCCCAAATCGTCACAGAAAATTTAATTGCAATCGCCCATTACTTTAGCACTCGCTTCAATAAATTCCGTTTGAAGATAAATTGTTTTGAAGTAATAACTTACAGTGACATTTTAAATGTCTGAAATGGAAATAATCCTATTAAAAACTTACTGCCCCTTCACTGTCCAAATTAAGTGGAAGCTAAAAATTTAAGTTCATGCGATGTCTGAAAAGGGCGGACCTTACGTCTTGTGCAGATGTTTTATTGCTGTATGAAACGGTGGGAATTGGAAGTCTTAACTTAATAAGGGCAGTAATTTTGTGTGTTGTGTACCATTTATATTGTTTTCTTTATTTTTAAAATGTAAACGGTCATTTTTATTGCATAAAATTATTTTTACTGATTTCATCGCGTTTAATTTTACTTTTTTTTTAATTATCGATGATTCGGGTCCTTTGTAGCGCTCTCAGTCCCCCGTGAAACAAGTGTTTGTCGTCCCGATGTCAAACTTAACTCAAAGTGCCTTCAGATTTATTATATATTTTTGTCATATCTACGCGGAATAAGCTTACTCTATCTTGGAGTTTTGCAGGAGTATATTTTAATTTAGTTTCAATTATAGTAATTACAGCATCTCAAGTAGGTGGTAGTACCCATCATTCTTCTCTATTGAAATTAGGATGTTTTTGATTTTGATAGCCTAACGTCAGCTATTCGTTCTTTGACGCTGATTTTTATAGTTCTTTTTGTTTGCTCTATATAACTTCATATAATATGCTAAGCTCATCTATTACTAATATCTGTACCTATAGAAAAAATTACGCAAGTTACTCCTCATTTCTTCAGAGTGTCAGCACTGGTGATGAGGTGGTCATTGAAATCATAATAATAAGAACATTCTATAGTAGCGCAATAACAATTAGAAATTCGTCCATAAAAACTTAAAAGTCCATTGTTAAACGTGGCCTACGTTCAGCAGTGGACGAATTATCATGATATAAGATAATTCATGAGGTGTTAGACCTCATGAATTATATTATAGGTTAATTTTTCGACATATGCCACGCTTGTTTAGCCGAGTTGGCACGAGACAATATGAAGTAATGAATACACGAATTCGTACACCAAATTTACACGGTTTACTACAGGGTAAGACTAATCATATTGTGACGGCCCAATATTATTAATAATTAAATTCAATATAAAAGGGCATCAAAAATAGTCTTAAAATTTATATAAATTAAGCAAAAAAACTACATTAATAAGCATAAAGTTAATATAAACACATTTCAGACATTAGACCAATAATATAGTAAATTAGAGGCAAAATATTTTCTTTCATAATAAATAAATTTATTTAAAAACTTGTAAAAATATTTAAAATACTATAAGTAACAGGAGTACAAGTCGAAAATATTATAAAATAAAGATAAATAATATTTATAAGATAATTAGAAAATTTGTTAAAAATGGTCTAAGTTGTGGAAGGAGTTCATGTTCATAGATGTCTTGTTTGGAGGAGCTGCCGGAGATACATACCTGCAGTTGTACATATATATGGGGTGGTCGGGAGCCCGACTGCTTGAAGTACTGTAGCACAATGACTAGTCCTATATTAGGGACTTATGATAAAAAACTCAATGATACAAAAGCAATACTATAGAAGGTCTCTATGAAATTTGCATTACAATAGTGGGGTCGTGGGTTGAAGTCCTATATATTAATGACTTGTGAAAGTAAGGTCTATGATACAAAATTTGCATTACAATAGTAGGGTCGTGGGTTCGAGTCAAGTACAAAAGCATTATTATAGAAGGTCTCCTTGATGCATAAGCATTATATGGGGTGGTCGGGTGACCGACTGCTCTTAGTATTGTAGAAAAATGACTAATCCTTATTAGGGACTTGAAAAAGGATTATTATGGTGGCGTGTATGCTGCTTCACGAGCAATTGGTCCGAGGTAAACTTGAGCTTGCTAACCGATGTGTCCTAGACATATCATCTTAGTGCCGGTGGTAAGCGGGTTTGTTGTAGCAATACAGCTTTCCCGTGGACATCGCACACCCATACCGTTTGTGAGCGGCGTCGTAGCGCATAGCGATGCGTAGTCTATCTTTCAGATTGGGATGAGTGTGTTTGGTAGCACTTTTAAGTGTAACAGGCATACTCAACTTCATGTCTTAGTGCATTAGCGCTATGATACGTGTAGTTTTGGTCACTGGCATCTTAGTAGCGTGCTACTATGATACGTTGGTGATATTTTTTAGTTAACAACAATACAAACTTTGTTACCAAGGTCGATAGGGATCATGTAGGTGTGTTTTGATGGGGCGCCATCCGTATGATAGTTGCATTGATGCTTACTGCTTCTTGCGGTATTGCGTCTTGTGATGGATCTGTGTGTCTGCTGCGCACGATTCCACGCACTTTTGTGATTCTGGTCGATGGAGGTATGCGGGTGGTGATGTCTGCTGGGATTTATGGGGGACTTTGGGATGGTGTAAGCCCGACGATAGTCGTATTGACTTCGTATTTCTTGTTGCGTTCTGCAGCACTGCCTCTCTGCGATGGTTGTTTGGTAGGACGCTATTTTCAATGGCGCTCTCTACGTCTTGGTTTGACTCACACCTGAGTAGTTTTGTCCAAGTTAGGTCCCTTCATTACGTGGCTGCAGACTGTCTGCCCTCCACGATGTTTTATGTAACAACATAATAATATATCTCTGTTACTTTCTCACCTTTGAATGATTGAAGGCAACTTGATGGTGGGTGAGACAAACATGATCGAAAATTCATTTACTCAACGTCAGTGACGCAAAACCTTTCGTTTTTCGTTACACGCGTGATGCAGTGTGCGCTTTACAAGGTAGACACGTATTTCTATGCTCCGAACTTTTTTAATTGTGAACCAATATAAAAACAAAAGATCATTGTTGTGTTATATATCAAAGTATAGATAGTGAACTCAGTAATATATTATTGAAAACTGTTTATAAAAAGCTTTGCTTACTTCGAAGATATAACGAAAACCATTTTAAAAAATTATACACAACGGACGAATTATGTCATAGTACACTACGTTCGCTGCAGCGTACACTTGTGGTGAGTCATTTCTATTACGTCTGACGGCTTGAAACAAACAAAAACAAGAAATTGTACAAAATGCGACAAGATAATTTTAATAGACAGTTTTTGAAATGTTCTCACTGTAAAAAATTGAATCATCTCACTTGCACAATATCTCAGAGAAATTTGTTTTATTTAATGAAACAGAAGGAAATCCATAACTGGAACTGTGAAAATTGCATAAATAAATGTCGAATTACAAATAACCCATTAACATCAGCTGAAATACAGGCAAGTAATACATCGACATCACGAGTCTTTGCTACACGCCGGAGTAAAAATAATGTAAACATTACAACAGAAAACTCTTTTGCATCTCTTTACACTGAGGTTTCGGAGAATGATGATTTCTCTGTTTCCAAAACACCGAATTTAAACAGAAGCTGTCCCGAAGAAAGTCTTATTATAAACGAGGTTTTGGATGACCTCAAAATAAAAATAGCTATCTTAGAAAATATACTCCAAATAGCCGAAACAGAAATAAAAAAAATTATTTTTGGAAAATAGCTCTCTAAAAAGACAAATTTTAAAACATGAATAAAAAGATGAAACAACTGACACACATATGTCGAACAATGCCGATAAGAAGTGCTAGTTTAAAAGGACGCAAAAGCCTAAATAATAATAATTTTGATTTCACATGGTTAGACCAAACAAAAGATGAATTTGTTACTCAACCACATAATGAATCAGATGAAAATAACTCATCCAGCCCAAAAAAGACACCGGAGAGTGTAAGGAATGTGGATAATACTCCTGAATTGCCTGCACAGGAAAGAGAAGAATTCACTGACAATACTATAACAAATGAAACGAAAAAAAGGCAATAATATTAAATGAACGGTAAAGGTTTTCGCAGTTTACTCCAAAATATAATTGGTAAAGAATTCCATGCTTTTCTATCACAAATTTTAACATGTTGCAATACTATACGTAAAGATTTTACTAAATCTGTCTATGTTATAATTATAGCGGGTTAGCTTCAGATCTTTTCTGTATTACCACTTATCCTTACTATCAAACACAAATGTACTGGTTGGTGAAATATTAAACAACAGAATTTTAAATATTGGTAAATTAACCCATTAGTGGCCAAAATCAAATAAAAAAACGTTTTTAACGAAAAATATTTATTTTGTTAATCTGGGCGGGACTAGAAAACATAAAATGAAACAAAAAATTTTTTTAATTATTTTTTATACTTTTTCAGGGGTGTACTTGTTTGAGTACAGTGTCCACTTATATGTGTAATTTTCCGAAGCATGACTTTTCAATGCAGAGTGTTTTCAAACACTTCTTGCATCCCTATCGGACCCTTGCATGGCAAATGAGGCATCGTAATTGCTGTTCAAGCATCCTTGGGTAGTGGCCTGAACCATCTTGAGTCAGTCCTTTGACCAAAGAAGAATATGATCTGGCTCTTTTTAGAGTTTCTTGTCGCAAATAGTATCTGGCAAGACTATGTCGAAGCAAGAGTTGATCCATCCATCCATCCTTGCTCATAAACATGTAAACGCCAAGCGTTTGAAACGGCCATGTCCAACAAGTATGTAAATAAAACTCACCACCACTTTTAAATAAAACTCACCACCAGGAATCCCGATCCTGTATGGATATATGGACTGATCAAGGTCATCGACTCCACCTTTATTGTAGTTTTCAAATAAAATCGGAATCCTTACATCGGTTTTCTCTATTATTTTTGGGCACCATCTTTATACCGTGCTCATTGGTTCAAAATAATCGTAGTTAGTAGTACAAATACGCCCCATTCATTGAATTTAGTCATCAGTATGTCGGCTAGGGATCTAATTTTGAACATTTTATTTCTGGAATTTGATGTTTCATCGTTACTCACAAGATGAAGATACGTTTTTATTTTACGAAATTTATTCCTCGTCATAGCTCTTGAAACTAGAGCAACTCTGACGTCCTCATCCAGTCATCAATATATTACTTCCCGAGGCAATTTGTGATATCACGACAAAATCAAAATACCAATGAACTTTTTCAGGTCTGGTAAATCAAGTTGAAAAGAGTGTCTATTGTTTTGATTAGCATACAAAATACTATTACATAATACGAGCTGTAATACTTATTCATTCAGTATTTTTTCAAAAATCTGTACAGGATTTTGGTCTTTCAGCTGTTCATTTATAGCATTTTGTTTGTCTTGCACCTCAGACGTATGCTGATGGACAAAAGTATAGGATAGTGAACATTTTCTCCGGGCTGGAGTTTACTGCCACTGCCGAATGTTAGGCTTCTGACGAAATCCTTTTACGGCCAATGGTTTTTTCTTCTCTAAAATCATAGTAGGATGAAAAAATACCTTCATTGCGTACCATAACCTCAATATTTTGAGCACATCTCGTGACAACGTATAACAACCCTATCTTCATCAGACTCTTCCATTTCGTCAGTCACGATACAGGAATCAGGTGGTATTATCGCCAAATCATTTTCACGGTCATCATCATCAGACTCTGCAATTGCTTCCTCAGGTCTTATAAAGCTATTTATACCGAAAAACATCTTGCGACTCATTGTTGGTAAACTGAAACAAAGTTGTATTTTTTATCTATTGAAGTAACCAGTGTACTCAACTGAGTACATTAGTAAAAATCTTCATCTAAAGTTAGTAATAAACAATAACTGTTTCAAATTTGTAACTCACATTATAGACTACACTATATCCAATCACAATTATTACAAAAACAAACATTAACACAAATAATAATAATAAAATATCATAAAAATACTACTCACTTCCACGCTAGTCCAATAACATGAAATCCGGTTGCTCCAAACGACACATGTTTTAGAAATACCCTCAATTTGCACGACTTAAATAAAATATGAGTCTACCCTCTATTTTAATTAATAAAATAAAAACTAATAAACCCTCACAGATTTAGTAAATTAATTTTTAAATAACTGTACTCGTTTAAGTACAGCGACAGAGAATGGGTTAAATGATCAGTTGCGTTTCTTGTGTTCTCAATTTCATCACGCTAGATTCGTACCATTAAACTATGGCGACACAAAGCAAAATTATAAGTTATATATGACTAGACTGATGTTAAGAGAAATACTCAGTGTAGATTACAGTTATAGATTTGTTGATTATAACACCATCAATACGCAATTTTTAAAACAACCTAACTCAAAAATAGTGCAAAAAGAAATTACACAATACTTCAAAAAAAATAATATCACAAAGACGAAAAATGTTACTTATTATTATTATAACACAAGTATAAGTAAAGTTCAATTAACTATTCCATATATTTTCAACAAAATAAAACTTAAACAAGCTAATGCTACTCTAGGTCCTAACAAAACTATTGAAAGTGACAAAAATTCAGACTTTTATCTTAAATAGAAATGAAAATTGTTTTAATATAATTCACTTGAATGTTCAAAGTATTAAATCAAAAACAGAACAATTGGAATTGCTAATGCTGGAGAAAAACATCGATATATGTTGTTTCTGTGAAACTTTTTTAAAGAATTACGAAGTTGACATATTTCAAATCGACGGATATAAAAAAGTAGCACATTTCTGTAGGAAACGTAAAAAGGTAGGCGGTGTTGCCATTTCTGTATAAAATCTATTGATTACCACGAACTTCAATGGATATCAGAAATGGCTATAGAAAATCATTTTAATGTTGTGGTGTGTTAATAAGTGGATTAAACTTTTTAATAATATCGTGTTACCCATGACTTGGATGTTTTTTTGATTAATATGGTGTGGATTAAGAAAAATAACAATACGAACACGAAATTGTTATAAAAATATATTTGTATTGGGTGATTTTAATGTAAATATATTAGAAAATCATGAACAAAGTAAATCGCTACTGAACATGTTTCAGGCTTATAAATTACATCCTACTATTTTGATACCTACCAGAATTACTTCACACTCACAAACATGTATTGATAATTTTATTACTAATATGAAACAATATAATGTTAGTGTATTAGATGTTGGGGTATCTGATCATACTTGTCAATTGATATCGATTCTCTCAAACAAAAGCTTTAGGAATAAGTTTTGGTATATGTTTATAAAAAACCCAGACATGTATATAGAGATTTTCTTAAAATACGTATCACAGACTAATTTCACAGATGTTTATTCACAATGTAATCCCAAATGACGCGTATACAATAGTTTTAGATCAGTTTAGTCTGATTTACGGTCTTTGTGTGCCAAATAAAAAAATAAAATAACATATAAAAGAGATTATAACCGCCACTACATTGCCGTGTAGTGGCGGTTAAGAATATCCACTACCCCATATCTTCCCGTGGGTGTCGTAAGAGGCGACAGAGGGAGACAGGCAGGAGATGGGCAGCAGCGTCTTCCTGATGACAACTGTGACGTAATAAAAAACTGCGGTTGCCAACCCGCTCGCCAAGCGTGGTAACTATGGCAAATACCCCCCAATGAATAAATACACAAACAGACGGCCCCCAGTCCCCGGCGGCCCCGCTATTCCTGGCTACGGTGGCGACCATGGTAACGGCGGGGTAGGAGGTGCTAAGAATCTCCGGTGGAGGTTCGGTTGCCACCTACGACGACTCGACCTGGCAACATATAACGCACGCACCCTGAGGACTGACGAGAAGATACTGGAGCTGGAAGAAGAGGTAGACAAGTTGCGCTGGCATATTATTGGATTATCCGAGGTCCGAAGAGAGGGGGGAGGACACGGAAATCCTCGAGTCCGGCAACTTGTTCTATCACCGGGAGGGCGACCATCTGTCCCAAGGAGGTGTCGGATTTATCGTCCACAAATCTCTCGTCAACAACGTTGTAAAGATTGGGAGTGTGTCGACGAGGGTCGCGTACCTGATACTCAGAATCACCAAACGGTATTCGCTGAAGGTCATTCAGGTTTACGCACCAACCTCGGCACATCCCGATGAGGAGGTGGAGGAAATGTATGAGGATATTTCCAGAGCCATACATTCCTCCAAAACCTACTACACGGTGTTGATGGGAGACTTCAACGCAAAACTGGGCACAAGAGAAAGCGGTGAGCTGAAGGTAGGGAAATTTGGAGTAGGGCAACGGAATCGAAGGGGCCAGCAGCTGGCCGACTTTATGGAGAAAGAGGGACTCTTTATGATGAACTCTTTCTTCCAGAAGCGGCCCCACAGGAAGTGGACCTGGTCGAGCCCCGACGGTTCGACAAAAAATGAGATTGACTTCATTATGACGACCAGACGCCAACTGTTCAATGATGTCTCAGTGATCGCAAGGGTGAAAACTGGCAGCGATCACCGAATGGTTAGAGGCACACTGAACCTAAACGTTAAGTTGGAGAGGTCTCGTCTAATGAAGTCAACGCTCCGTCCCCCTCGTGCTCTAATCCAGAATCCCGAAACCTTTCAGCTCGAGTTACGTAACCGCTTCCAGTGCCTAGAAGATTGCAATGCAGTGGACGATATGAACGACAAGCTCGTGGAAACTGTCCATGCGGTCGGAGCTAAGTTCTGCAAGACCCGCCGCAGAAGAACACAAAAACTCTCCGATCACACTCTTAATCTCATGGCTGTTAGACGGGAGATGAGGCTGCAATCGTCAACAGATTTGACAGCATACAGGCAACTGAACAGACAGATCTCCAAATGCATACGGCGAGACTTACGCAACTTTAATACTTCTCGTATTAAAGAAGCGATCGAGCGGAACCAGGGCTCCAAAGTCTTTGCCAGAGATCTGTCTGCCAGAAAGAGCCAACTGTCAAGGCTGAAGACTGAGTGTGGCAACATCGTTTCCGGGACACCTGAGATTTTGAGTGAGATTGAGAGG